AAAATGTCATTACATGACATTATTACATGACATTTGTTTCCAAGTTGTTGCCTGACAGCACAAGAGGAGTTCTCCTCAGCATTCTCCAAGCTTCCAGAGTGATTGAGGAGTTGCTTAAGAGTTCAGCAAGCCTCTAGATAAGGGAGAACCGCCAAGAGAGGAGAGAGGGAGAAGAGAGAAGTTAGAGAGAAAAAAATTAATTTTTAGAATTTCGAATCTGTGGAAGAAGCTACTTTGAGCAATTAAAGGTATGCTACTAGACTAATTTGAGGGCTAGGAATCTCCTGGTATCATTAGAATTTCATATGATGTACTACAATTGCTCGAATTTATGTTTTAAATTTTCGGGTTCTAGGTTTTATGAAACGGGTTTTGAGCTTGAGGTCATTTTGGTTAACTTGGTTGGCATGGCTATGTTGTGGGGAGGTAGAGGAGTATTTTGGTGGTTATTTCAAGGGTTGTCATGGTCGGAGGTGATAGGGTGATGGTGATGAAGTTTTGGCCATGGTGGGTTTTTGATTTCTTGATTTTGGGGGTTAAGCTTTGAAGGGAAGGTTGTTCCTAGCTAAATTGGATCTTAGGAATCCATTGGAAACCTTAGAAATAGATTTAGAAGTTGTTAAGATGGTTAAAATGCAAGTTGCAGGTCTGGCCATAAACTAAAAACCTTATTTTTGGGTTACTTTGACCAGTTTTTCTTATGGGTTTAAGCTTAATTCGAAGCTTGAGAATTATGGAGTTTGTTAGAGTGATATGTGGTGAGTGTTTAGGATAAAAAATTAGGTGAAAAAATGTATTGATTAGGGAGAAATAAGGGTAAGAAGTATGGGGGTTAGGGCTGGAAAAAAGAGCCTAGGGTTTTGGTCAAAGTAACCAAGGAAGAAGATGAAATACACTAGTGCACTCCGATGGCGTGTGAGGGCGCGTCTGACATTTGATTTACCTCTAGTTGGTGCCAAAAGTTCCTTAACAAATGTGCGGAGGTCCCGGTAAAATTTCAAGTCGATCCGATGGCCGGATCAAAATGAGGATTAAAATGATTATTTTGACCTCCGGGGCCAATTTGACCCAGTTTTTGGGTGATTTTTGGAAAATAAAATTTATATTCATTCCTAGGTAGGTTATTTGATTATGTGTATGAAAATTCATTGAAAAATAACATCGTTTTATTTTTGGCTATTCCGGATCGAAAAGCAGCGTAGAATAGAATTTCTCAATTCTGGATCAGTCGAAGTTTTTCAAATTTATTGTGAAATCATGTATTACATTCCTTATGAATTATTAATATATTTTAAAACTTATGATTGATGATCTTGAATTTGGACTGAAAATCATAGATCTGAATTAGGGTTTTGAATGCGGTGACGCACAGTGGTCCCAAAACGTTGTAATTGTGGTTAATACGAAACGTTCAAAAATACATTCTTGTGCATTGATTTTCATTAGTTCATCTATATTTGATTCGATACTCATTTGCATTAATCCATGTGTTAACTGTTATGGTCGGAGGCTACTATCTCGGTTACGCATAAGGATTGACCGTAAAGAAAGGAAGGGTATCTGTCAGTGGTAAAGGTGAAATGTATTGCTTCATAATACTTAGAAGTAAAAGTATATAATATACCAAGTTTATTCTCTTATATGTGAAAAATCAATTTTGCTGAATTGATTTGAGTTGAGTTACTTAAGCTATGGATCAAATATGTTTTTTTGAGAAACTTGTGGTTTGTTGAAAAACTTGTGATTTGAGTAGTATCCACTGTGCTAGAGTTGTTAATAACTTGACATGACTTACATGTTGTTGATTTGGACACTGCGCAGTTGTCGTGAGATAGCTTGACATTGCTTAAATGTTATAGATAACTTGACATTGCTTAAATGTTGTAAATAGCTTGACATTGCTTAAATGTTGTTGATAGCTTGATATTGCTTAAATGTTGTTGTTGACTCATAGCACATGTGAACTATTTATTATGTTGTTATATTGACAGAGATTATGAGATTTCAAAACGAGTTAAAAATACTTTGATTTTGACATTCTTCTTAGATTGTGAACATATTTGGTGAACATATTTTGATATTTGATTCATATTTTTAATATCTCTATTTATTATGATACGCAGTACACTCAAGAAAATTATTAGTTTCAGGATGCCGAAGTCTAGAGTGAGATCCACTACTGCACTAGCATGGTAGAAATTGGGGAAAAATTAAGGAAATCTGGTTATGTACATACTGTACAAGAGTGTCTGTTTTCCTGTTGTTTGTTGTAAATGAGTGAAATCTCTAATCCTTTATTTTGGCAAAAACGACACTGTTGTGTACCCTGTTATATAGTTCCCTATTTTGATGGTGGCATTATTGATTTTTTTTTTTTTTTGCAATGCATTACTGCATTACAAATGTAGGTATTGCCACGTATTGAGTTACACTTCCATCTCTGGAAAATCAAAGAGAGTCTCTCAGGATGAGGTGTGACAAGTACCTTAACTCGGGGAGGCTCTGCTGTTTTAGGACAGTGTTCACACGACTTTCGGACTCGCAGCCAGCTCTTTCTAATTTATAGTATGTATTTTTTTTCATTTAAAATTCATTGTTATTTTGTGCTTATTTATGTGATATTAATATTAATTTAATAATTAAAATTATGTATAATTATGTTAATTTTTCCCAACAGAGTGTTTTATCGAAAAAAAAAAAAGAAGATCAAAGAAAGTGATGGGAAGGAGAGAGTCAAAGCGAGCCAATTCTTGCAATTACTTATTGTCATCGCTCGGTGTAAAAAACTAAGAATACGGAGTCAATTCTTCCGATTACTTTTTGTCATCCCTCTGCTTAAAAAAATGACAAAACTTTGAAACCCAAGTTTCTTCTAGCACAGGGCATGGAAGAAAGTGGAGGACTGGGGCTGTTCTATTCCCTTTAATTATTAACTACACATTTGCCCACCAAAAAAAAAAAGTAGTCCCAAATTTGGAAGGATAAAAATAAAAAAAAAAATTGAGAAAATTTTCGCAGGCATAAAAAATTGACCTAATTCTAATTTTTTTTTGGAGCAATATTATTGAAACATAATTCATTGGGATAATTAGATTAAGAGTGGATCTAATATTGAATGAATTCATTATCAACCCAATAGTAAAATTGCATTAGGTACCCAAATCAGATATATGTAGTATTTATGTTTCTTTCTCTTCTCTCTTTTCCCATTAAAAATAAAAATTTTGTGTCAAAAATTTGACCGGGTCAAATTATATTTTGTAAAATATAATTTCATGTCCAATGACAATAATTAAATATTAGAATTTTGAATTTGGAGAGAAATTTCATTTGAAAAATATATATTACCAATGTAAATATGAAGTTTGAGTACAAAAGTTAAGGTTGGTAATAGTTGGAAAGAATTATTTGGTTAAGGGCTTTTTATATTTTGTACCTCTTAAAAATTTTATGATTTTTATTTTTGTACCCTTAAAAATTAAATTTTACACATTGCACTCTCAATGTATTAAAAATATTTCAATGTAGCTCTTCTGTTAGCTTCCGTTATTTTTTTTGTTAAAAGTCAACCCATTAACATTGACAGAAAAATTAACAAAAATATAACAGAAGGATCACATTGTAACATTTTTGATATATTGAGGGTGCAATATGAAAAAATTAATTTTTCAGAGTATAACATAAAAATTATAAAATCTTTTAAGATACAAAATGCAATTTGCCAGTTAGTTATATTAATGTCCCAATTTGAACAACAATTTTTAACATTTGTTTTGTGCATGTAGCACTCATATTTTCTCAATATATTTAGGAGATTATTGTTTTATATTGATATAAATAGGGGAATATCAGCAAAAATAAAACTTTAGTAAAGTTGGAGCTAATTTTGATTTGAAAATGTTAGATTTCAAATCACCAAATTGTATAAATAGAACCATTCATTTGTTCTTACCCTTCTACTCCCAAGACATAAAAAGAAAATGATTTTTATGTTCATATGTATGATTGAAATTTTACATTTATTTATTACTTTTATATACTTAAAAATCAACTAATAAGATCTCATATTTATATTTTAGGCATTCTTTCAAAATGGATCTTTATTCCGTTGATTAACATTAAAAATATTAGTATATCTTTGAAATATGTTGTTCAGATAACCATTTTGAAGAAATTTGCGACAAATAAATTAATTTTAGTTGGGTTGTTTTTCTAAATGACCAATTTTCATTTTCACAATCTGAACTAATATTGAAGATCTCTTTTGTTATGATAGTTGGCTATAGGCAAAACAAATTAAAAAAAAAAAAAAACCTCCATTAGAAAGAAAGTAGAAATATGTATCCAAAAATTGACTCCAAGTCGGGTTTAGACATTAATCAAGAAAAATGAATGCTATTTTTTGAAATCCATTTTCCACATAACGTGTCTAAATGTTTTTTTGAAAAAAATAATGATTTATGATCCCACCGGTAATTGCTAAACAAGGGATGCAGTTTCACAAATAAAAAATTACATCGAATTATCACTTGAACTAGAATCCTAAGCTGACAATTTTCATTAACCATTGTGTTAAATAAAGTGATTAAGGAATATGGTAATTGTTGTTTAAACCTTTGAATTCCAAATCTATGGTATATTGGACCTTATGACTCATCTTCTAACACATAAATCAAACTTTTGCTTTTTGATCGACATTAACATAAACCAGTTCCTTTCATGGGATATATATATATATATATATATATATATATATATATATTGGAAACATAACTAAGATGTATTAATAAAATAGGAAACATAACTGAGATATATTAAAAAAATATGAAAATACAGCAAAGAGATTGAACAAGAAATCCAACCATGAAAAAACCTACAACAGAATGTTAACAACCAAAAGACTTGGTTTTTGAAGCCGATCAAACTCCTCATTCCCCTCCACATAGCACCTGATATGATATGTCGAAAACACACACTGACCCACCTTTTTGTTTGTGAATTTAGTGCAGTATACGTGCGCTTTGCTTGTGGAAAATCCGGCGGCCGACAGTGGAGGGGAACATGTCAAGAAATAAGGGAAAATGACCAGACCCAAACATCCACAGCGGCAGAAAGGCCACCAAAATCACTACTGGGAAGATGACGACATCTTTATGCCCAAAAATAAGGTATATTGTGGCAGCAAATGCCGAAATCAATGATGTTATGGAAAGGAACAGAGTAACAAGGCCCATAAACAATCTTCTAGGAAGGACCACAAGAAAATCACCTTCTGCATAGCGCGAAGTGAGAATAGACAAGAATGTTATCACCGAAGCAATGGAGGAGACTAGGGAGATCGCATTTGAAACTGCAAATACTTTGAAGACCCTTTCTTTGGCGAAAATCGGGAAGCCATGGATTTGATCGTTGCCACCAGGCACAGTAATTGTTGCTGCAAACGCAACAGTAGCAATGAGTGCTGATGCAACCGTGCATGAGTTGGCCGCATCTTTCATCCATTTCTCTCCTTCCTTAATCAAGTCTTTGTCTGCATCAGTAAAAACCATTGCAGGTGTTTTTCTTTCCAAGTTTGTTTCCTCTTTGAGGTTTGGATGCACAAACTTCCCCACTTCCTGCACAATGTGTTAATTTGATGTATAAAAAGACAAGTTTCAGTTCTCTCTACAGTATTGTAGCAGGATGATAATCAAATTCAGAACCAGTAAATTTTACCTAGAAATAATTCGTCTGAAATAGAAAGAAAATCTTTACCTTAAACCATTGTAACTCACGCTGGACTTGCAAAGTCGCACTGGAAACAAGATTGAGTTGGTTCGAATGTGCTAATTTTTCAGCCAGATGCAAAATATTATTCCCCGAAGCGTCATGGGATGCTGTTAACAAATGTTTATACGTACTCAATTGATATATGAGGTTAAATACTTTATCATGGCGATTTATAACAGCAAGGTGAAGCACATTATGGTTCTCAATGTCAGAAAACCAAATGGCATCAGGATATGAACCCACAATCTCTTCCACAATTTCATGAATCCCTGACCGTGCTGCTGATATAAGAGCCTGTTCAAGTATTGAGGGAGCTCTTGAGCAACCTGAATTGATAATTCCGGAGCGGAGGCATTTCACAATTTGAAGAGCATGTTTATGCATGGATTTTGTGCCATGAATGTAGATTATGTCTCTCACTGCCATCAATAATTACTTGAGCATTATCTGGTTGGCATGTAATATTTGGTGTCACAACATATGTCATAATTTTGGCATGTCTTACCTAAACGGTTGACTTCCCAAACGATATAGAACAAAATGATGATTAGACGTAGAAGATCACCCACGAAGCTGACACTAGATACGGTAACAACCACATAAAGTACACTGAGCCTACTGAGTCCTGTACCACAAAATTGGACCAATTAGACAAAGAAACCAGCTTCTCCAATTTTTGCATGCAACTTCCTATACAGAAGCACAAAACCAAAAAATGAAGTTTTAGTTGCTTCATCACACTCTCTATCTCACCAAAGCAATCAGAACTAAGGTGTAAAGGCTCCATTAAACTTACTTTACTTATCACTCGTCAATAGTCTGAGCTTTCTGCTTTGGTCTTAATTAGTTAACACCTTTTTGATGCATCTTGAATTAAATGCCCCATAACTTTCTCTTCTACCATTTGAACATCCTCTTTAATCCCAATTCCATTTAAAATAATTCTCTGTCATAGATTCATTTGCTACCCACCGATAACGAAGCCCTAGGCAATGCACAGTAAATAGTTATTTAGAATTGAAAAAAAAGTCAGTGATTTTAACGTTTTTTAAAGAGATGCACAAAAATTAAAATTTATGTTTCAAAAAAAGAAATGTACATCTTTTCTATTCAGTTGAATAACAGGTTTAATAGACTTCCATAGGAAGAAGGACTATTGACAAACCAAAATGTAGTAGTTTGCGGTGCAAATACTGTAGTTTGTCCAACAGTGCATGTAAGAGAGAAAATGGCTGCAGCTTGTGCACGTTCTTGTGTTTTCCGTGAAGGAGGCTTGAGATGCTTTTCAATTTATTGCCCAAGTTCACAGGTACAACTGCAAGTAAAATGGACAGTTATGTTTAAGACCACAGAGACTCCACTCCAAAATTAATAATATTTGTCTTAAATAGTGATGGAACTTAGTAAATATGGCTAAACTAATTTCAGGGTGCTTTGGTGAGTATGTCATTTCACTGACTTAGGACTCCATGAAGTTGAAGCAAGGAGAGCATTGTGTTCGAAACTGGACCACCACCATTATCAGGGGAAGAAAGATGTGCGTGCTGATTTTTGCACAACAGTAGAAATAGGAAGAGTTCTCTCCCACGAAAAACTGTGGTTTCGACAAGATAATAATTCTGGCGGAACAGAAGATTTGCTTTCAGGATTTCTGATCGCCTCTGACAAAGATTTGACCTATTCGAAAGTGGGTTTTGGCAACAAGGAGTAGGTTGAGAGGGACAAAGGGGCCCTAAGGACTGGTGATGAATTGTTTGTTGGGTCGCCTGACCGGTCTTGGAAGACTGTGGGGAGATCCTGTAACACAAAAAAATAGTTTAGAAGGGTGCCAGAGTACTCTCTGGCGTATCCCCTCTGATGATCAAGTCAGTTTTTTGAGATAGGGGAAGAAGAAAGCACTATGGTTTATTATAGAAGTTCGTGTCTCCCTTTGCAATGCGTTTTTGAAAATTATTTATACCTTCAAAAGCTCATGATTACTGATAGTCCATCTAGTAGGTATTTGTCAGGGATGGGCAGTGTGCCTCTCACTTTTATGGGGAATGGGATTTGCTGTAACTGATCGGGATGCTGAGCATTTAAAACTCACTCCTTGGTCTGCCTAGCATTCAATTCCCCCTTCTTGGCGAGGATGCATTAACTGCTCAGGTATGGGGGTCTTTAATGCACTTCACTTCTCCGCCTCCATGCCTTAATTGTTGTCTCATCAAGAGGAGGATTCATTAAATGCATACTTGCTCTTGTCATGTGTCAGTAGGGGTACCCAGGTCTTTTTGTTATTGATTTGATATCAAATTCCACGCGTCCACCCCTCCTTGGTTGCATGTTCTGCATTCCTGCACCTCCTGACATCATCGAGCAGAGCGTCTTCATGATAATTAGCCTAGCTTGGCCTAAGCTAGCCATATGTCAATCATTAGCTTTGTAGAAGTAGGGGAGAGGTGGGATCCAGTGTACAAAAGGAACACCTCGGCACCGAGGAATATTTGTCTATCTCGGGGTCAAGGATTTTTACCGAGCCGAGGACATATGTGTTGATCACGTCGATTGGGGATCCCTCGGCTCCGAGCACTATCCCCTCGGTGGATGGGGATGAGTGTCGTCGAGGATACGTGGCCATACTTGGCTAGAAAGATAACAATGCTGAGGACACATGTCGCCAATCTGTCTTCTTCCAGAAATGTCCCATCAACTACCCCCCAGCCCTTTGATCTTCTGATGCAGGGGAGACATGTCATCAGAAAGCACAGGGTTATATAAATGCCTCAACCACCTCATCATTGCTCCTAGCCATTTTTCGTCGCTTTGGAGATTGTGCGTATTAAATGTGTCTTTTAGTGTTTCGTGCACAATGATGGGGACAGTTACTATATAAACTAAACCTCCTTCTCTCTTCCACACTTTGGCTTATACGAAAAAACCTATGAGGACTTTCGCCGGAAAACTCTTCAGAGAACTAGCTGCACCACCACTTTTCCAGCCATCACCGGAGCGAAAAACACCTGCACCATCTTCACCACCAGACTTTCAACGAAGAAACGAGTTCTTCTAAGCTTCCAGACCCCTTCCTTGGTTCTCTGGTGAGTCCTTGTTTTCTCTTTCTTCCTTTTCCTTCTTCCTTCTGGTTTTTTTGGTGACCGGTGGTCTTCCTGGTCCCATTAATCTCCCCAATGTTTTGAAAAACTCCTTAGGACTCTTTAGGGGGAGAAATCCTCATTCCCTTTGTAGAGATGCCTAGGGCCCGCCCCGACACCGAGATTCAAAGTGCTGGTCCCTCAAGGCCAGGGAAATATAAGGTCAAGGGGGATCAGTAGATAGAGAGTTTTAGAGCCCATTATCTCATACCTAGTAATGTTGGTATAGGGGATTTTAAACCTACCCAGCACAATCGTAATGTCGAAATCGAGGATGCGATGTCTTTCTACACCAAGGCTATCATAGAGGGTGGGATAAGATTCCCTTTGCCCCCTTTACTCCTCCAATTCCTTTCTCGGTTCAATATCGTCCTCGGACAATGTTGCCTGAATGTCTTTAAGATAGTAATGGGGGTCATAGAACTCAACAGGCATCTCGGGGTCAACCTTGGTCTCAACGACATTCTCTTATACTATTCCTTGCTGAGGGTGATGCCCCAGTAAAATTTTTACCTCAAGGCTAGGGATCCTTCCATGTATCTAGTGACCCACCTTCCTGACTCGGACAAGGGGTACAAGGACGACCTGTTGGTCTTCAGTGGGGCCTGGGAGAAAGGAACCGACCCCGAGTATGCTGGTCTGAGGTGCCCCCTTTAGTGGAGAACGTCAAGTACGTCGACTTCCTTATGCCTTATTGTCTCTGTCTTCTTTAACTGTCTTGCCAATTTTTAATGAGAGTCTTTCTTATTTGCACAGACATTTCTGCTTGCGAAGTTGCTTCTCTGTTCCGGCGTTTGGTGAATTTTACTGACCTTGCCATTATCTGGGGACACGTCGGCGGCGACGAATTTGGCCGAGGTGGACACATCATCCTGGGTTACACACCAGGATACAAAAAAATTTCTTAGCTCTCTCAACCCTTCAATCTTTCACGGTGGTCCAAGCTCTTCGATCAGGCAGCGCAGCAAGACCTCGAGCAAGACTTAGAGAGAGATCCCGATAGAGCCACCGAGGCTGAAGTTGAGAGTGTCGTCGAAGTAGAAGAACCCGGAGTCAGGGAGTCTTCTGTGCCTGCATACACCGAGGTTGGTACTTTGAGAAGGGTGGCAAGGTCCGACATCAACATTCTTCAATCTTTGGACGTCGAGGACAAGCTAGAGGAAGCCATGTCACCCTTACAAATTGATTTGAACTTCTTACGGCGAAGGCAATCCCTTGCTACCAGGAGGGGCAGGGGATCAATCAGCAATGTGCCCCCTCTTCTTCAGGGACCAGCTACATCGTCCCCCCAGCACCAAGGCCCATCGGTCAGGGTCAGGTGTGCGACAGGGATCCTCTCATAGAAGAGGAGAGGAGAGTCAAACAGAGGCTTGATGCCCAGGGCCAGGGTAGGGCCCCCTCCCCTCTGCAGTAAGGCAGAAGGGGCCGAGGGAGGGCCCCCCTACCTCAGCCATAGACTTATCAACAGCAGCAACAATAACAACGAACTCCACCTCCCCCTCCGCCGACGGAGGATGTAGTAGAGTGGAACCCCCGGGCTATTGACCATATGAACAGGGTCATCCGGGTCAATGATTTTATCTTCCAGGATCCTCATGTGGCTTACACGGTGAGTGAGACGTTTCACTTCGGAGCCGACATGGAGGCTCATCGAGAGTGGACTACAAACTCTTTGTTCCGTTCTATCATCCAAAACTCCTTGGTGGTAAGTTTTAACTTCTCTGTTCATTTTTTCCCATGTTTCAATAACTGTGACTGTGATTTAACCAAGTCTCCTTCCTCGCAGGCCACCCAACAGATTTTGGTGATCGCTGCACGCTACCATGGGGCGAGGATGAATTTACAGCGGGCTGAGGAGGAGAAGAAAAAGACTGAAGAAGCTCTCGCCATCGCCAAGGAGGACGTGGCTACCAGAGACATCACCTTGGCGGCCCAGGCAGCCCAAATAGAGCAACTGCTCAAGAATGGTGAGTCGACGAGGTCTGGAGCTGAGAAGCTAAGGGCTGCCCTTACTGATGTCGAGAGGAGGATAATAGAGCAGACACAGCGGCTATCTTCAGCCGAGGAGAGAACGTCCAGGTCAGAGGAGAACTGTCTGGCCCTTACTCAGGAGCTTGATAAAGTGAGGGCTGAATTAGAGAACCATCTGAAGTCGGAGGAAGAGCTTCAGAATGAATTCGCCGACAGCGTCCTGCCTGTCCTTGAGGAGAACAGTGCGGATTATTTCAAGAGGGGCTGGGATGAGGCGCTCCGAGCTGCTGGCGTTCCTCTTGATTCTCCCTTGTTCGGTATGCACCCTTATGTGCCTTCGGGGGAGATGGCCCAGGCCAGGGCCGAAGTCATTGCTGAGGACGTGGTCCCACCCCCATTACAAGCCTCGGGGGAGACTTCTGAAGTGATCTTGGCTCCAACTGATACTGCCCTGTCGGATACAGACCCTCCTACTCCCGAGATACCGGTTCCATCTATCTACGTTTTGGCCCCTGCTCTATCTGCTTCAGTTGCTTCTGAAGTCTTCAATGTCAACTCCCCCTGCAACGATCTGATGGAGATGCCGAGGGGAGGTGATTTGACTTTTTGGTCTGTGCTTATTCTGTACTTTTCTTGCTCTGTACTTTTCAATTTTCTCTTGTAGCTCTCGGGGATACAAAGT